AAAAAAAAAGAAAGAAAAAAGGATTGTCTCCTGACTCACTGTGCACCTTCACCGCATCACTGGTGGTTGCTCAGACTCAGAGCATCCGAATCACCCCTGTGAATCCTAATTTTATAGCCTCAGAGTCCCTTTCCTCCTTTTCTTCCCCACTGCCTTGCCCAGTGCAGGGCATCATGACCTCTCACCTAGGCTATTGGCAACAACCTTCCATCTGGTCTTTACCTAGGTCACCTTCACCCTAATCTATCCCAACCACCCCTGTGAGACTAATCTAATTAATGCACAGCTCTCATGGAAATGTTTCTGTGAGAAACCTTCAACAACTTCCTGTTGCCTAATTAATTAAGCGTTAAAAACTCTTTAGCCCAGTATTTGTGGCCTGCCAATGTGCCAGCATGCTCTGCCCTCCGGCCCAAAGCACTATATACACTCTGAGCATTCCCCGCACTCCTGTGCCTTGTTGTCTTTGCTTCTGTGCCTTCCCTTGGAAAGCCCCAACTATGCCCCACCTGACTATACATCCATTCATCTAAGTTCTCAGTGGATCAACCCACCCATGAAGCCCTCCTGATGAATCCAACTCTGAAATTTTGTAGCTCTTTATCACATTTTGTTTTGTACTATGTTTCTGTATATGAATGTCTCATTTCCACTGTTAAGCTCCCTGAGGACAATAACCTGTGTCTTGTTTGTCTTTCTATCCACAGAGCTGAGCACAATGGGGACACATGATAAACACTCAGTGAATATTTTTTGAAAGAATAAATTCCTCTAATAAGGATAGTCTTGGCTATATTGTGCATTATTAGTTTAAGTGCTTTTCCTTAGGTTGAAGAGTCTTTTACTGTAGAAACTTTATCTTCTCTAGAAGATAACTCACATATTGCGTTCAGACCTCCATAGCCCATGTAATGATAAATACAGTTAACTCCCTAGGCTAGGTGAACTGAATTAACTCAGTAAAAAAAAAAAAAAAAAATATCACCGATCCCTTCTGTACTGGAGTTGCTAAATAGATATTGAAAGGAATCACCAAATTCTCCTAAGATGCCTGAAATGTTTATGAATACAGGTAACTTATTATTAGCTAATAGAGCTTCTTAGAGTCTCAATAAGCTTTCAGTGCACACAGCAATAAGACCATAAATAAACAGTCACACTGGCCTACTCTTTACTTGTGATTAAGTGCATACTGGCGATATATTGACAAAATGTGGTCACTGTTTGAATATTTTTAAATCAAGGAGAAGCAAATTCATCACATATGAATGCAAATTCATCACATATAAACAGATATGTAGCTCTTTTTCATTTTTGATCTGATTTTTAATTTTTAAATAACCATATATTGATGAAACAGTTCTTTCACAAATTCCTGGCAAACATCAAGATTGCTATTTATGACTCAAGAGCAGACCAAGAATATCAGACATGACCAGGGACACTATCATTTAAAAAAATCAAATTCATCACATATAAACAGATATGTAGCTCTTTTTCATTTTTGATCTGATTTTTAATTTTTAAATAACCATATATTGATGAAACAGTTCTTTCACAAATTCCTGGCAAACATCAAGATTGCTATTTATGACTCAAGAGCAGACCAAGAATATCAGAAATGACCAGGGACACTATCATTTAAAAAAATCAACTTGGAGGAGGAGGCAAATGCAAAGAGGTGTAGTACGGATTTCAGGCCAGAAAAAACCCAGGTATGGAAGCAGGACTCCATTTTCACTTCAGTTGGCAATAGCACTGATATCTGTTCCCTGCTTTATGGAAAAATGAAATAATGGGTCTACTACCCCACATGCCAGTTACTACCTCGTTATTGATTATTGCTGCAAATTAAATTTAAATTTTAAAAGATTGCCAAGTTTTCTTTGTGTTTTTGATGTGTGTTAGGAGGGGTTTGTAGGCATACAGGATGAAAGAGGGGGTTAGGGAGGAAGGAGAACAATGCGGAAGAAAAAAGAACTTACTAGAATTTTATTCACAACTTTTTTAAAAAAATGGGATCATGGACTGGTGTTTGGATTTTTTTTCATAGACACTTTTATGGTGAAAAGGATTGAAATCAGTTTTTAAATTGGAATTTTTCCCAGAACACAACTCTTGCAAAGATGAAAAAATTAACGTTAAGCAAGTCTTTTTAGATGATTGCCTTCGTAAAGCCTGGAGCATGACTTTCAAGACATGTTTTTATGTTTTCACTTAAGACAGTAAGATCGTGCTACTCTTGGTGACTTGCTTCCTAAACTCTCAAGACAGAAATGGCATTCGTTATACAGTTAGACTCTTGGGCTGCATTCTCCCCAGTCCTGGAGCAACCCATCACCACGTTCTGATTGAGCGCTCAGCACACAGCAATAAGACCATAAATAAACAGTCACACTGGCCTACTCTTTACTTGTGATTAAGTGCATACTGGCGATATATTGATGAAGTAATATATGGTGACTAACATAACATAATAAAATAAAATAAAAAAAAAAAAAGAAAGAAAAAAGGATTGTCTCC